TTTATTAATCATGTTCAATAATGGATCTGTAAATTTATAAAAATAAAAAAACCATTACAAAAACAAAACAAATTGCCTAGACATATACCAAATGCAGAAAATTGTGATTTATTAGATTTTTATTAATCTAATATTAAAGGATAGACGATAGTGTATACAATTAATTATGATTGTAAACAAGGAAGACCTTGATTGTATTAATTTATAGTGTACGATGTACCTATATATACTCCCCTAATTATAGCAAATTTAATTTAAATCAGTAGGTTACTAGGTAATCAATTAATTTATTTTTTGGTTGTTATTATATGTGCGTCTTATGACAAATGTATTTATAGTACCTACATAAGTTTAATATTATTTTTAAATAATTTGTATTTTACATATAATATATTATATTCTATTGTTTATCTTAATATTCAGTTAAAGAGGAATCCACACTACCACTTTTAGATTAAACTATATAGACAATATACGCGTTCCAACGTACTAACTTGAGTTTTACTCCTATAATAATTTTGAAAACATATTTGAATTTATTATGAAGTCTATTTTGAATCCTTCGAATCAAAACAATAAAAATAAATTTTTAAAATTAGTGATGTCCATTTAATTTTTTTTATAAATTTCAAATGAGGTTTTTTCTTTTTCAGAAYAATAAATTAAAAATGTGGCTCTAAGGATCCAAAGTTGATAGAACAACAAAACAAAACATGTTTGCAAAATTATTGTGTGTGTAAAACTCAAGTCGGTATGTTGGAATTCGTTTAGGCCTATGCTATATGATTTACAACATTTTGCCATTAAATAAATTCGTTGTTAAGCATGAAGTGAAACGTGAATGCGAGTGCGCAACGCTTATCTAGCTTCTAGCTCGCCGTCAGATAATGCCATACGTCGGTTCTGGGAAATCACTCACACTAATGATCATTTACTACCACGCACACATCATGCCAAGCACTCTAGTATTATACAGATTGTCTAAAAATTCCTTAAAAACGGTAAGTACTCAGTATGGAAACCGCTTAAAGGATGAAACCCCCACCACATAAACRCTAATTTTATTAAATATTAATATTGTCATTTGCATTTTGTATTACCTGTATTCAATTAGTTGATAATACGAAGAATATAAGTTAGGATTAAGYCTGTAAACTATTAGTGGTCTTTATAGTTARTGACTTTTATACTTGAGGCCTGAGGGTCGCAAGTATTTTATAAGAATAGGACGCTTATAGTATATGAACTATGATGTATGGATTTAGGCGATTTAGCTATTAGTTTCACTTCAGTAACTTCTATGATTATACTATGTACCTACTTTAAAGCATAGGTACACGATAATATAACTTGTATAATATATTATAACACGTCTTAGTTAATAGATGACAAAAACATTTTATCTATTGGTATTTGGTATACCTATTACCTA